TCCTTAATATCTATAATAATAAGCTTCCAATCTTGAGGAAGTGCAGAAAGCAAAGGAAGGCCTCTTTGAACAGGGCCAAAAAGATGCATCTGATTGTTAATGGCCCGCAGGTCGTGGAGTAATCTCCACTTCCCAGATTTCTTCTTAATAACAAAAATTGGTGTATTCCATGGGGAGGTAGAAGGCTCTAGATGCCCCAGCCGTTCCTGTTCTTGCACTAATCTTGTGACAGCCTCTAATTTTTCAGAGGATAGAGGCCATTGAGAGACCCATAACGGCTCCTCTGTTTTCCATGGTATGGGTCGTGAAGCCTCAACGGCCCCTAAATAAAACCCAGTCCTTTTCTACCCCGATTTCCGTGTTGTGTAATGGGTTTTATTCTGCCTTGTTCTTGCCTACCCAAGCCTCTACCATTTGTATACCCCATCTTTGCCATAATGGCTGATGCCTGGGGGAGTATTCATTAGTTAGGGTCATGCCCATGGCTTGTAACACATCTCGTCCCCATAAATTTACAGGGAGTGGCAACACATAGGGGGTAAAACATCCCTGTTTGCCTTCAGCATCCCGCCAGGTTAAGGCTGAGGCACTGATGGCAGGAGAGGACTGGTATCCAAGACCTTGTAGAGAATGAGATGAAACAACAGTGGGCCAAGACTTCGGCCACCAATGGAGTGAAATAATGCTTTTGTCTGCTCCCGAATCCATTATCCCTTCAAATTCTTTTCCATTAATTAACAATTTTATTGTAGGTCTCTCATTTAGGGGTATAGCCAGATAGGCTGAATCACTTCCAGAAGATCCCATAGCCCTTTTTTGTAAAGTGTAGGTTTCTCCATCCCCGAGGGAGGGCAGCAACACCAGTTGTGCAATTCTATCTCCCTGCTTTATAGAAAATACACCCCGAGGGCTAGAACAGAGAACTTGAATCTCCTCTTTATGATATGGGTCAACAATCCCAGGATATATAATGAGTCCCTGTAAAGTTAAGGAGCCACGGCCCAGAATAAGCCCAATGGTGGCAGGGGGCAAAGGTCCAGGGGAATGGACTGGGACCGGTTGAACATTCATTTGGGGCATGAGTAAGAAGTCGGAGGCGGCACGCAAGTCCATTCCGGAGGTTCCTCGGAAACCTCTACTTCCTCTTGATTGCTTTTCTGAAATTGGTTCCCATATTTCTGAGGGCCCTGGGACCATGGGCCCCGTGACCCGTTTTTTGATTGGGGTACCTTGGATTCTTCAATAGGGGGCAGAAGCCTCCCTTTACATCCCGGACTGACCTGCATTCGCTAGCCCTATGATAACCTTTACCACAACGATAGCAAAGCTTCGATTCTCTTGTTCTTTCAGGGGCTTGACAATCTTTCTTAAGGTGCCCCATTCTCCCACAATTAAAACAAGCTTTTCGATTAGATAAATCTCTATACCTGTGCGTTTGTAAAATGGCGGCAGCTAGTCCTGCATTGGTTAGGGGTCCCCCCAGCTCCCTGCACACTCTGAGCCAATCTTGTAAACCTTTGCTTTTGCGAGGGGCGATAGCCGCTCGACATTCCTGGGTTGCTTGTTCATAGACAAGTTGCTCAATCAGGGGCATAGCTTGTTCTGAATCACCAAAGATGCGACTGGCGGCCTCTGTCATTCTGGCCACAAAGTCTGAAAATGGCTCTTGGGGTCCTTGGACAATCTTTGTAAGGTGTCCACTGGACTCTCCCCTTTTGTGAGGGCCTTCCATGCTTTAATAGCGGCGGCCGACACCTGACCATAGACGCCCCAGATGTAGTTGGTTTGATTAAGGGCATGTTGACCCTGACCTGTCAGCATTTCAAATGTCCACTGCCTCTGATTCTCATCTTCAGCCGTGGCATTAACTCTAGCTTGTGCCTGGGCTGCATCATACCAGAGAGCCTTCCATTCCATGTATTGTCCCATGTTGGGAAGCACTGCTTTCACTGTCGTTTGCCAGTCAGTGGGAGTCATGGCAAAATTAGCAAGCCTTTCCACCTGTAATGTGGTAAAGTTAGCATTGACCCCATAATTACGAACGGATTCGGCCAATTCTTTAATTTGATTGTAATCTACGGGGGTATGTACTCTTCCGCCTTCCACATTCTCGAATACTGGAAAAGCCATTTGTATTTTTCTCCGTTCCTCTAAAGGTAAAAAGGAGTCAGTACCAGTATTCAGCCGAAGCTCATACTGCGGAGGCGCTGAGGGGCGTGAGCCCGCCGGATTTATAGGCGGTGGCCTCACATTCATTTTTGTTTTCAGTGGCCGGTGTCTATCAGGGTGATATCTTTTTTCCTCATACCGTGCCACCTCCTCCTCTAGACCACCTTCTTCGCTAGAATCCAGAGTGTCAGAATCAGAATTATCTAGCTCCAAGGCTTCTAGCTCTACTGCAGGGTATAGACTAGATTCTGGCTTTTTCTTTTTCTTAGATTTGTTAAGGGGTGAATGATAACTCCCTTCTTTCTCTCCCCTTTCTTAACTTCCTGGGAGGGCCTTTTTTCTTAGACATGTCTTTTCTTTTGCGAGCTCCCATTCTCTCACTCCGTTCAGTTTCTGACATGCTATCCTGAACTTCCTCTAAGGTTCCCTGACTTTCTATTATAGCAGGGTGACAGGCCTCATCCTCCAAGCAGTTTTTAACTAGCTTCCAAATGGCTTTGGTACCTAAGCAGAGATCTCCTTCTGCATGCTTCCTGTCTAGTTCTTTACCTAGCTTGTTCCATGAGGCCACAGTGAGGGACCCGGAACAAGCATACCATGGTGCCACTCTATCTACCTCCTTCACAAAATTTTGAAGTGTTCGTGGTGCAATTTTAAGATCTCTTTGTTTTAGCACAGTCTGTAAGGCTGTAACCACTGACTGTGACGACCCCATCGCGCTGACAGCTTATCTAAAAACGCGCTCAACTCCGTTACCAGACTGACAGCACCAGACTGACAGCACCAGACTGACAGCACCAGACTGACAGCGCCAGATGGACAGCGCCAGATGGACAGCGCCAGACGGACAGCGCCAGACGGACAGCGCCAGATGGACAGCGCCGTTCTGTCAGCACCAGCCACGATGAAGGAGAAGGACAAACAGGACTAGCACCAAAGCCTCCACTGACCCGTCCCACGGTGATGACAAACTAAGGCCAAAGTCGAGAAAAGGGTTGTTCAGGATAAAGCATACCTCTCTGAACCTACGTCCCTGCAGTTCTGAATCCGCCCCGTCTTCCGAGGGGTCTCCCGCGGCGCCGGCGATGTTGAAGAGTTCCCGGGTTTCGGCACCAGATGTCCCGCGCTACCGTCTCGCCAGCAAGAACGACGCAGAACACTCGGATCCTTCTGCAGTAAAGCTTTAATGCATCTTGAGAGATAGATGATCAGCTTCTTAGAGGGAGACCCCAAGCTAAGAAACCCAGCCCCTTATATAAGCCTAGGAGCTCCGAGTGAGATGTGTAGAGCCGGGATTGGTGGTTTGCACATCACCCCAGATGACGTCACGGGAGAGGCACAGTTTAAACGGTTAACTCCAACTGACAGCGACAGTTAACTCCAACTGACAGCGACAGTTAACTCCAACTGACAGCGACAGTTAACTCCAACTGACAGTGGATGTCAGCGCCATCTTCTAACGGCAATAGCGATAGCGAGGGCGGCTCCTCACAGGAAATGTTGTTTGCAGGCAATCATATCTCTTTGTTGAAATTTGGAACGCCAGCCCTTTCTCTGGTCCCCTGTTTATCTCTGATCCATTTCTGTAGGCCGTCTGTGTTCTGTTACGTGACATATTAACTGATTTTTGTCATTGTTTCTAGCAGACGCGTGTGAATATATTTGTGTTTTCCACTTTAGAGGCAAATTATGCAAGCCCAGAATTAACCTTCTTCAGGTACAAGAATAAAGGCACAAGGGTCTGTGTCATTTCTTCACGGGATGGTAATAGTTACCGATTCAGGTCAGCAGGCTGTTTATTCCATTCTTTCCAAATTCTAGTGTCTTCCTGTGGAAGATGTACCAAAAACGTGACTGCCCCTGGGAGGCTTTCCCAGGCTCACTGATGGTTATGTTTTACAGTACCAAAATGGTAGGGTCAGAAGAGAGTGGTGTCGAGTGTCACCTTCCTAAGTGGGGTGACCCTGGGCTGGGCCTCATTAGGGAAAGACTCCTATGTGTTACATGTGGGACAATTAGTTCTCATCCGATTGTTAGGGGAAACACACTGGCTAAGTCTTGTGATTCCACACAATCTTGGCACATAAAACAATTAAAAAAAAACTGGCTTTCTCCTATAAGCATCCCATAAATAAAGATTGGACGGGCGGATGGATCCCAGTGATCTATTGTCATGCCTGACTCCGCTACTCTGTTTGGTTTCGTTAGGGATCTGTCTGGAAAATTTTGTTTCCTATAGGGAAGACACTAGCACCTGCTACAAATCAAGCAGTTTTGTAAATTGTGATGGCCTCCGGCATCGTCACCTACTGAAACCTGCCATAAGCCCTTCAAACAGACATCACCTGTATGACAAACACCTGTGAAGCATCTGCCCTGAGTCAGGCTCTGTTCTGTGACAGGTGGCAGCTGTCAGAGGTAGCTGAGTGTCTCCGGTTTCACAGTATTTGCATTTCAGTGGAGAGAGACCACAGACGCTTGGGCAGGTTAAGGCTGTGGTGCTGAGAAAGATGAGATGGGAGGGGTGGAGGGGTGGAGGGGTGGGAGCTGGCACATCCAGGAAAGCCGTGTTTTGTTTAAGACCGGAATGTGCCGATGGTGGATACGGAGCCATACCATGGATATGGAGTCGTATGATACTTTATTAGAGAGAGAGAGGTCACCTTCATGAGAAGCCGAGAACTCAGGTCAGCGCTTTGCTGGTCTCTGACCTCCACCGCAACCCCAAGAGACAGCGTGACCCCTCCTTCCTTGACTTTTATCTCTGCCTCTCCCCCACCCACGTACCTATGACCACGCCCAAAAGGGCGTGGTCAGTGCTGAGGGTCTGTGAGATCTCTACAACGTGCCAATATACGGACGATGAGATCCAGCCTGTAGCAAAGGCTGGCTCCTCTAAGGCGGGCGATGTATGAATAGGAGACTCACAGGCAGTCCCGTCCTTGCAATATTCAGGTTTGTGGACCGCTTTCCAGGTAGAGGAAGAACAAAATGCCAGGAGCAAGGCGAGTGCTTGGTGCGTTTCGGGAGGAGCGAAGGCCTGGTTTGACAGGAGAAGGGGGGCGGGTGTCGAAGGTGACACCAGCAAGGTCTCAGGGAGCTGTGCACACAGATGACAGCGTCAGACACCAGTCTGAGGAAGATGACCAGTGTGCCCATAAGGGCTGGGTGTGGAACTGGGAGCACTCTGCCATTTCCAGCAGAGGTGGTCACACAGAGAAGACGCTCAAACTTCACTGGACAAGCGGAGGGCAATACAGGGAGCCTCGGGCTGATGCCAGAGCAAGTCTTTAAAAGAGACACTCGGGGTATTTGCCACCCCCGCTCTTATTTAGAAAGTAGATAGGACACCTGTTGAGCTGGAATCCACAGGTTGATGAGCCATTAGCTACAGGTGTTCACTGAACCATCCTTGCATCTCTGGGATGAACCCTACTTGATCACGGTAGATGATCTTTTCAATGTGTCCTTGGATTCCGTTTGCAAGCATTTCATTAAATGTTTTTGCATTAGTATTCATGAGGGATGTTTTTCTGTAATTCCCTTTCTTTGTTGAGTCGTTGGGTATCAAGGTGACAGTGGCATCATAAAATGAGTTTGGCAATGTTCCTTCTGTTTGTATTTTCAGGAGTGTTGGAATCAGCTCCTTTTTGAAATTCTGGTAGAATTCTGTGCTATACCTGTCTGGCCCTGGGCTTTTTTTTTTTTTTTTTTTTTTTGGGTTGGGAGACCTTTAGTGACTGTTTCTATTTTCTTGGGGTTATAGTTCTATTTTAATTGTTTAGCTGATCTTGGCCTAACTTTGGTAAGTGGTATCTATTGAGGAGATTGTCCATTTCATTTAGATTTTTCAATTAAGGTATGACCTAATGATTCTTTGGATTTCCTTTGTGTCTGTTGTTATGTCCCCTTCTTCATTTCTGGTTTTCTTCATTTGGATATTCTTTTCGTGACTTTTAGTTTGATAAGGGGTTGTTTATCTTGTTGATTTTCTCAAAGAACCAACACTTTGTTTCATTGGTTCTTTGTAATGTTCTCTTTGTTTTTCAATTTCATTGATATCAGCCCTGAGTTTGATTATTTCCTGCCCTCTACTCTTCTTGGACATGTTTGCATCTTTTTGTTCTAGAGTTTTCAGGTATGTTGTTAAGTTGCTAGTATGAGGACTCATTCCTTCATGAATGCACTTAGTGCTATGAACTTTCCTCTTAGCAGAGCTTTCACTGTATCACAAGTTTAGGTGTGTTATATATTCATTTTCATAGACTCCTAGGAAGTCTCTCATTTCTTTCTTATTTTGTCTTTGACCCAGTGGTCACTTAGTAGGGAGTTGTTTTAATGAGAATATAGTCTTTTTCTTGTTTCTATTGTTGAAATTCATTTTTAATCCTTGGTGGTCTGATTACTTCAATTTTCTTTTATCTCTTGAAACTTGATTTGTGACTGAGTATGAGGTCAATTTTGGAGAACTTTCCATGAGTTGCTGAGAAGAAGGTATATTATTTTGTGTTTGGGTGAAATGTTCTGTAGATATCTGTTAGGTCAATTTGGTTAATACTGCCTGTTAGTTCCATTATTTCTCCATTTAGTTTCCATCTGGTTAGCTGTCCTTTGGAGAGAATAGGTTGTTGAAGTTTCCCACTATAAATTTGTGGGCTGCGATGTGTGATTTATGCCTTAGTAATATTTCTTTTACAAATGTGGGTACCTTTGCATTTGGGGCATAGATGTTACAAAATGTCATCTCGGTGGAGTTTTCCTTTGGTGAGTGTGAAGTGTCCTTTCCTATCTGTGGTGGTTTGAAAGAAAATGACCCCCAAAGGGAGTGCCTCTGTTATGGTCTTGTTGGAGGAAGTGTGTCATTGTGGATGCAGGCTTTGAGGTCTCATATATGCTCAAGCCATTCCCAGTGAGATAGACTACTTCCTCTTGCCTGCAAGTCAAGATGTAGGACACTTGGCTACTTCTCCAGCACCATGTTTGCCTGAGCACTACCAGGCCACATTGTAATGATAATGGACTAAATCTCTAAAAATGTAAGCCACCCCAATTAAACTTTTTTTTCATTTATAAGAGTTGTCATGGTCATGCTGTCTCTTCACAGCAATATAAACCCAAAGACACTATCTCTTTTGGTTAATTTTGATTGGAAGTCTATTTCGTTAGATATTAGAATCACTGTACCAGCTTGCTTTTTGGGTCCATTTGCTTGGAAAATCTTTTGCCAATCTGTCACTCTGAGATAATGCACGTCTTTGATGTTGAGGTGTGTTGTTTTTGGTGGTGTTTGTGGTAGTGTGTGAGTACATGTGCAATCGTGTGTGTGTGTGTGTGTGTGTGTGTGTATGAGTTTTCCTTCTTTTGATTTTGCTTGTGTGAGATTTTATTTCCTGTGCTTTCATGGTTGCAATTTACTTACTTAGGTTGGAGCTTTTCTTCTAGAACTTTCAGTAGGGCTGGATTTATAGATAGATAATGTTTAAATTTGACTTTGTCATGGAATATATTGTTTCCTTGATCTATGTTGATTGAAAGTTTTGCTGGGTTAGTAGTCTGGGGTGGCATCTCTGGTCTCTTAGAGTCTGCAAGATTATCTGTCCAATCCCTTCTGGATTTTAGCATCTCCATTGAGAAGTCGGGTATAATTCTGACAGGCTCTGCCTTTATGTTATTTGGCCTTTTTCCCTTAAAGCTTTTAACACTCTTTCTTCTGTATGTTTAGGGTTTTGATTATTGTGTGACATGAGGCCTTTTTTTCTGGTCCAAACTATTTGGTGTCCTGTAAGCGTCTTGTACCTTTATAGGCATCTTCTGTTTTAGGTTAGGAAAGTTTTCTCCTATGGCTCTGTTGAAGATATTCTCTGAGCCTTTGAGCTCGATATCTCCTTCTATTCCTATTACTCTTAGGTTTGATCTTTTCATAGAGTCCCGGATTTCCTGGACGTTTTGTGTCAGGAACATTTTAGATTTAAAGTTTTCTTTGACTGTTGTATCACTTTCTTCTATTGTGTCTTCTACCTCTGAGATTCTCTTTCATCTCTTGTATTCTGCTGGTGATACCTGAGTCTGTAGTTCCTGTTTACTTATCCGTATTTTTTGTCTCTAGGATTGTGTTTTCACTATTGCTTCTATTTCCATTTTCAGGTCTTGAATGGTTTTATCCATTTCCTTTACCTGTTTGTGTTTTCTTTAAGGGATTTTGTTTTTCATTTCCTTTTTAAAGCCTGTATTAGCTACGGTTTCTAGCTGGTAACGGGGACTGGGGTATTGCTGTGATAAGCCTGACCTTGGTTTTTGTTTGTTTGTTTGTTCGTTTGAAGACATATGAACCCAGGGGCTGTGGATTAGAAAAGCAACCCTAATTGTCATCATACAACCTTCACGAAGTGACAGATGGAAGCAGATGCAGAGATCCACAGCCAAGCACTGAGCCAAGCTCAGGGAGTCCAGTCAGTCAAAGAGAGGGAGGAGGGATTGTATGAGCAAGGGAAATCAAGATCATGATGGGGGAAACCCACAGAGACAGCTGACCTGAGCTACTGGAAGCTAATGGGCTCTGGACAGACAGCTGGGGCGTCTGCATGGGACCAAACAAGGCCCTGTGCATGTGGCTGACAGTTGTATTGCTTGGTCTGTTTTTTTTTTCAGGGGGTGTGGGTCCCCTGGCAGTGGGACCAGGGTCTATCCCCGGTGCATGAGCCGGCTTTTTGGAGCCCATTCACTACGGTGGGATGCCTTGCTCAGCCTTGGTGCAGCAAGGAGGGGCGTGGTTCTGCCTCAACTTGGTGTCTCTTCGCAAGGAAAGAAGCCCTAACTAAGACAAGGGCCTCTGTCATCTTCCTAAGATTGGATTGGAAGTCATTTTCTTGAGCTTCTGCTGTGCTGGAATATCGAGGGACTGCTGTGGTAGAATAGCTGGGCTCTGGTGATGCCATGTTGCCCTGGGTTTTGTTGATTGTGTTCTTATACTGGCCTCTAGTCATCTAGGTTTGGGGTGAGTATCAGTTTAGGTGCCAAATTCTGAATTTATCTTTGTTGGACGGATGCCTTTTGGATGTTTTCTCCCTTGCTTTCTGGTCTTCTGGCCTGAACTACCCATGGTTCTGATGACCAGGGAGTCTTTGTGTCTCCGCTAGGGTTTTAGTTTTGGTGGTCTTCTTTGCCTCTGGAATTTTGGGGTTCTGGGAACTGGTGTGGCCTCTGGAATTGGGGGGGTCTTCTCCTGGGGTTGTGGACTGGGATGTCGATTCTGGCTTTTACACAGAGCACAGCCTCTATAAATGTTGTGTAGGGGACGGTTGAAGGGTCTCAGGGACAGCGCTGCAGGGATTCTGCGCTTCCCTCATAGGGCTGTCACTAGTCGTCTTGTTCACGTAACGGTTCATAGATTTAAATAAGACGCTCCTTTCTCTAAACTTTTGTGGTGTGTAGTTGTGTGGTTTGTTTAAAACTGAGTGCATTTCTCTACCGCCATCACTGACATTTGCATAGCCCTGTGAATCACAGCTTAATTTTAAACCATTTTTGGATGAGAGTTGATTATATCAAATATATATATATATATACTATAAAAATAGGTTTTTAAATTTTAAGTGGTGTGTGTGTGTGTGTGTGTGTGTGTGTGTGTGTGTGTGTGTGTCTAGAAGAGGGTTCTGGGTTCCCTGGAGCTAGAGTTATAGGTGACTGGGAGCTGCTCCACGTGGATTCTGGGATCTATATCGGAAGAGCAGCATGCACTCTTAACCACTGAGCAGCCTCTCCATCCCTGTAGGTTTAGTTTTCAACAGCAGGAAATGAATGAGAATGATCTCGCTCTTCAGTCCACTCTGTCAAAGTCCGTGTGAAGGTCAGGAACGAGAAGTAGCCCCCTTGCTGGCTGGATATGGTATGTCCACCTCTCCATCTGGCAGGACGCTTGTTTACAACCTTCATAACAGCACACCATTTCCTACACCGGGATGGACAGCCTGAGGGAGAACTGTGCAGTTAAAGATGGTTGGAGTGATGAATTTAATCTTGCATTGCCTTCCCTTTTTCAATCTATGAAATTCACTTAAATTCATAAAATCCAGAACCGAAACACACATCTCCCAGTGGTGTATGCATTCTTAAATTGATAAAACCCAGGGCAGAAGCACAGGTCACCCAAATGGCACAAATTAACTTCTAGGAATATGAGAGGCACTAATCAGACCATTCAAAAGCAGACTACAAAGCAAACATAATTTCAATTTTTTTTTGACCAAAAGTTCTTGTGAGCGAATGAGACAACGTGTTCTCAGGCGATCACGGCGTCACTTTACAAGTGCATGTCTACTCTCTCCTGTCTTTCTTTTGTGTGAGAACCTGTTCCTGTACGTGTGCATGCGTGTTCAGGCAAGCAGGAATGCATGGGTATGCAGTTGCGCGTGGAGGTCGGAGGTCACAGGTCCGAGTGTCTTCCTCAGTCATTCTCCACCTTAACTTTTGAGCTGGGAGCACATTGCTTTGTCTAGCTTTGCTGGTGGAGAGCCCCAGGGATGCTGTCCCTGACTCCCCAGCGCTGGGATTACAAGCACACACTGTCACACCCGAGTTTTGGTCCTGGTGTTGAAGGTCAAACTCAGGTCTTCATTCTCCTGCAATGGCTCTTTACCAACCGAGTTTCCTCCCCAGCTCCCCCGTGAATACGTCGAGAAAACACATATATGTGTACTCACAGGTAACAGGCTTTGGGTTGTCTGGCTGTTGACCGGATCTGTTTATACAGCCCAGGTTGGTCTTGACATTGCAATTCTTCTGTTTTCACCCTCAGGTGCTGGGTTTGCATGCTTAATCCACTCATGTCTCCTATACACCATTTTTTTTGAAAGAACACTGTCTGAAGTGATTATTCTTCTAGATCATACACTATATGGAGAGAGACAACCTCAATTATGCATACCTGTGCATTTAGTGTTCCCACGAAGGCGGGGTATGTGCGTCTTCATGAAGTTATGATCTGGGCTGTTAATTTGCCAACCATGTGGCTCCTTTGTCTCCCGTTTTGAAATTCCTACAAGCTGTGTATTCATGTATGTGATTACGAAGCAATGCTCTGTTGCTAGGCAGCGTTACGGAGATGAAGAAAGGCACAAGGCTCTCTGCTTGGGAGCTGAAAGTTTGCACTTCCATTTGTTAAAAAGGCCGATTTGGGCAATCCCGTCCTGTTGTTCAGCTGCCGCAGGTCAAATGTTCCATAAGAAAGGCATTTTGAGTTGTCTGTTCCTAGACTGCATTGCATTTTTGTGGGTGGAGACTCTTGTTAATGGACGTGGGATATAAATGTTCACATAGGTTTGTATACGGTGTATAAATTCTTATTACATTATATGCAGCTTGATAGACGGTATTGTCTACTCCCGGAAGACACAGTAGTCATGCTACTTTAACTTGTTTGTCATCCGTGGCAGCTGATGTGTACAAATAGTTGTTGATAATGCCTTTGCCTTGATACCCAGTAGACAAAATGTGGCTCTTTTTTAAAAATATATTTAATTTTACAATTTATCATCATAATAACCCAAACTTCCCAAACATTATTGGAACTCTGCAGTTGTTTGTTTGTTTGTTTTTCTTCCTTTTCTGGGGGAGCTTAGGACTATTGATACAAGTCAGTGTCCCTGCACTCTCTCACTGAATGCTGTTTTGGTTGAGATCAGTGGTTTTTGAAAGTCTCCAAGTTTAGTTTATTATTGCGCACTTGAATTTGCATGGCAGTTATGATCTCAGACGATGTAGGATGCCTTAACTTGTCCCTATGACCAAAGGATAAGAAGAGAAAAGGAATTACATTAGAAAGCTGGGCTTGTTTTTTTTTTTTTTTATAAGAAATGTTCTTTTTCTCTGCAGCCATATAAACCTAGAGCGTCTTTCGATGCCTGAGCCCGCATTTAAACGCATTTAAACCACTCTAAAGTCGCCTGCTGGGCAGGTCTCAGCCACACCCCTCTGCAGGGTCCCACCAGTTGCCTGTAACCTTCCGGGCCCTCCAGGCCTCTGTCTGTCCTTCGCAATGCAGTCAGGGTGATGTTTCTAACGTGAAACCTGAATGGCGCCGCATTTATGCCTTCACATAGCAGATTTGGGTCCACGTTGCCCCCTGGAGCACAAGCTGTCTGAAATTGCTTCTGGTCCATGCACGCACCGTGCGCCCCTGGTGCAGGCACCCGCTGTCCCCAACACACTGCACTATTTCTCACTTCGTTCCCACGAGACTTCCTCACCCTTCAAGACTTGCACCAGAAGCTCCGTGGACCATCTTTGAGATGAATATCAGCCCTGTGGACCCAGAGGGACTTCTATGCTTAGTTACAGATCTTTCTAGAGGTTGTCCGGAGGACAGGAGCAATTCTCCCCTGGAGTCCAAGCGATTCTTGTCTGTAAGGATGGGCGCTTTCGCTATCACGTGTGTAGGTGCCAATCACAGGGCACGAATCACACCAGATACCCATGAAAAGACAATTCTTTAAAGGAATAAAAGTCACCGGGAGAGAGAGACATGGGCCTCCAGTGGCTTTCGCGGCTGTGTTTGATCTTTCTTTCTTACCAGCAGGTGGCGCGCCAGCCCCACGTTTTAACTCTCCAGCTTTGCGGTTTTGCTGTAAAGGCACTAATTCGGCTGTTAAGGGAGGAGATGATAATTTACGCACTGTTTACAGAATAAAGCTGATTTAACCTTCTATAAGCGTTTTCCTTTTCCACTTTTGCTAAAGTGATATGGAAGACTTCAACTTTAAACAAAACGACCGGAGTGAAATAAAAATTTAAGATGGGGGTGGGGGGTTGGGGGGAGGCCCTCAAGTTAGGGAAAACGAAAAGCGTTGAAATCAACACTTCGGAATGGTAGCAGCATGGTAGCAGCTGCAGACACACACATGCACACGCGCACACACACATGCACGCATGCACGCACGCACGCACACACAAACAAAATGCAGACTGCAGAGCTTGGTGCTTGAGCCCGAACACTAAAAGGAAAAACAAGGCCCCGAAGGCAGCGTGCGCTCTTTGCGAGCCTTCGCTACGTTCCTTTGGAGAGCTGGAACCCCGGGTAAGGAACTTTGCACCATGCACCTGCGAGCATGACCCGGTGACGCTTTCACACACACTGAGAACCAACCAACGGGGGAAGACAGGAAGGCGAGCGGGAAAGGAGCAGCTTGGGGCGGGGGCGGGGTGTGTGTGTGTGACTGACAACCTTTGAAGGTGTGAAGCCACATGGGGAAGGCAATTCTTGAAGAGAGGGAGGGATGGGGCTCAGTGCTGGGTCCTGGAGCTCAGGGTAGTGAGGCAGAAACGAGAGGTCCATGCGTGCGGCCCAATGCGTGCTTGTGGTGTGACGTGGGCTGCGTGGGGGCCGTTCCCTGAGTTTGTCTACTTTTGAGCACGAGTCCTTCCGCAGAGGGCATCATGGGAGACGACACCCAGGCCCGGCTGGGTTTGTGCGTCAGCTTGACACAAAGCCGGAGTCATCAGAGAGGAAGGAGCCTCAGCTGAGGAAATGCCCCCATGAGATCCAGCTGGAGGGCATTTTCTCATTGAGTGATCAACGGGGGAGGCCCCAGCCCAGGATGGGTGGTGCGGTCCCTGGGCTTCTGGTCCTGGGTTCTATAAGAACGCAAGAACGCGGGCTGAGCAAGCCAGGAAGCAGCTCCCCTCCATGGCCTCTGCATCAGCTCCTGCCTCCAGGATCCTGTCCTGTCTGAGTTCCTGTCCGGACTTCCTTCAGTGGTGAACAGTGTAGGCCAAATAAACCCTTTCCTCCCCAGCTTGCCCTTTGGTTGTGGTTTTCGTTCGCAGCAACAGAAACCCTGACTAGGACAACCTGTAAGCTAGCTTTGTTCTTAAAATGCTGCATTAGCATAAGGTAACATTAGACACACCATCACAAATAAAAACAGATCCCTCGAAGAACAGCGGTGTTTATTTGGGAGTAACGCTGCAAAATCCACATTGTCACAGTAAACCGTAGGCACATTCAAAAAGTTGAGGCCAGGATAAGGTTTGTGTTTTGTTTTATCCCTCCTACTACCTTTCTCCCCTCCCTTCTCTTTCCCTCCCTCCCTCCCTCCCTTCCTCTCTCTCTCTCTCTCTCTCCCCCATTCATCCCTCTGTCCCTCCGTCCCTCCCTCTCTCCCTCTTCCCTCCCTCTCTCTCCCTCCCCCCTCTCCTCTCTCCTCTCTCTCTCTCCAGGGTCTAACATAGCCCAGGCTAGTCTCAAACTCACAGTGTAGCTGGAATGACCTTGAACTTCTCATTCCTTCTCTCCGGCCCAGTCTGGCATCTGGCTCTCAAGAACTGTGTTCTGGTCGTCTCTCCACAAAGTCTGGGCCCTGCAGGGCTGGTGATTAAACTCAGGTCTTTACAAGCATGCTACCAACCACGGTATCTCCAGAAAGATGGAAAGTTTAAAGGAGGAAACTGAGGAGGCTCCATCAGACACTATGAAACAATAACCCTGGCCCAGGGGGTTGACTGCAGTGGAACTGAGGACTGCTGCCCCTGTGCCCCTGTAGAAGTGCTTTCCGTGTAAGGCTGTGGTGGCTGCCTATGGGCTGTGATCCTGGCAGAGCCCTGCCCGATGGGTTCATCAGGCGATCGCCTACAAGAGCCCTTCCTTCGAGAACTCTTGGGCTCATTCATTTTCTGTTGCTAGAGTGGGCAGCAGCATCTCTGCTCTGATCCTGACGACTTTCATATCACTTGTGTGCGGTGAGCGAGGGAGCCTCCTATTCCTCACGGGTCTCATTACACGGGCAGTGCTAGGCACTCCCCATAAAAAGCAAGAGCCCTGCGCCACACCCAAGGCTCAGGGAACGTTACAGAAGGCGTGTCAGAAAGACTGTAAGGTCAGGGACTTTGCTATAAGATTGTGTCCCCTCGTAACACCAAAAGCTACGCCGAAGTCTTACCACCTTGACTGCCCAAACGTAAGCTGAACAAGGACTAGGCTCGCAGAGGCCAAAGTGGATAGGAAAAATGCTACCAGGCTTCAACCCTATATAAATAACTGAGTAAGCCTGGGAGTGAGAGAGGCAGCCCTCCCCAGGGAAAAACACACACACTGGTTGTCCAGTGCCAGAAAAAAATCAGCCCTGAAAACATACATACAAGAAGCCTTACACAGACTGAGCAGGTTATACTTGGGACTACAAGTGTATATAGAAATATATATATATATATATATAACAATTAATGAAAAAATTGAAGGAGAGCATGGAGGGATACATGGGAGAGTTTGAAGGGAGGAAAGTGATGGGTGAGATGTTATAATTAAAATACAGTCTCAAAAATAAACAAAAAACAAAGCCCGTATGTCCATCAACTCGTTTTTGTTACAAGCATACCAAAAATATAATTGAGTGTAGTTAATCAATATACTCTGAAGGAACAGCTATAATAACATATTTTATGTAATAATATATAATATATATTACATAAAAGCATAGGAACATATTTTAGGTCTGTAATTGCTTTGTCTGTAAAAGCTACCTTTCATATACAACAGTGTTTCTCTAGAAAACTGTATGCAGAGTTGAAAATAGATTAGTTAAAAAAAAAAGCGATGTGCCACTATTTCCCAGTGAACAAGTCTTTTCAAAGACATTTCCCTGGCTACCACCTGTCTCTTTCCTCACCCTGCCCTCTTTCTGATTTGGCCCTGCCCTCTACTGGACAGGTCTGGGACATGGAAGTGAGAGGTGTAACTGCCCAGTCACACACTGTAGGGTTTTGAGGGGTGAGCCAGACAGAGCTGGTAGTTTCCAGATGCCTTGCTGCTGTGTGTTTACACCTAGAGCATCTAGGAGCCCAGGTACTGTGGACCCCTAGATTCCCAGTAGAAACTTCCTTTCAGAGATATCCAGTGATTTTTTTTATTAGATGAAATACCTCGTAGACCTTTCCAGTATGTAAACGAGACTTCCTATTTATGATCCAAAGACCTCATCTATTGAAGGAGTGCCTCAGATTTGGAAGACAGCCCTGCCTTGAGTAAACTTAGTAAATGTTTGCAGAGAAAGCAAAAATGAAAGCGTGTATTGGACAATGGCAGTAATCTGTATTCTAAGGTCATTCAACATATGAACCTATGTGTAAGTTCCACTCTGTTGCTATTTACGTTTAAGGATCAAGTGGACTTTGACTGGAAACCTGTGTGGTTTTGCATTTCCATTTATTAAGATATCCACCCGTTCCACACCTGTAGCACTGACCACGCCCATTTGGGTGGGGTCACAGGTTTGGATGCAATGGAGGTTAGGACTAGATCCGGGGTCCTAGACCCTAGTGCTCTCTCTTGCTTCTGGTTGGGTCACAGAGGACAGACTGGGTGGATCCTTGGAGCTGGAACCTGCGGCGGTCACCTGCCTCTTGTGTAAACTTCACTTAACCTGTGCTGAGTATAGTGAATCTTGATCCCCATGAAATATCTGACGCCAAACTTGGGGCAAATTCACTGGACCTACAACGGCCACATGCTGCAGCTAGCCCATGCATATGTGGGGAATAGGTTTAAAAGAGGATTTTTTCCATCACTTGGCAACAGGTCAAGGAAATAGTAAAGAAATGTCCTACTTGTTCCTTCTATAACCAAACTCCTTTACAAACAGCAGGTAGTAACCCTAAAGGTATACATAGAAATGACATTTGGCAGATAGATGTGTTTTACTTTGAAGAATTTGTAAAGCTGAAATATGTACACCATACAATAGACACATTTTCAGAGTTCCAAGGGGCCACTGCTCTGAGCTCTGAAGAGGCTGATTCTGTTTTTACACACCTAGCAAAGGTGATATGTGTTACATTGAGGTAGGGGTTTTGGCTTTGTTTCTACAGGGAAAGAAAAACTTTGGATACCATCAAAGTTGGAAAAATATCTTGATTCGGAGAAATGATAGGTCATCCACCAAGGTATATGTATGGAGACCTCACAAAGGTATGGGGAGTGTTTTGTTCTTGTCTTTACAGGAAAACCCATCTCCAAAAAGCAAAAGTACACCAAACACGTTGATGCCTAAAGAATAGAGGATAGTTATCTAGAAAGAACCATCATACAAAGACGAATCTGAAGTATGGTAAAAATACTTATACTAAACTTTGATCTTCTGTTTCCCTGCTTCCCAGCACTATTAGAGTCCCTATCCACATAAAATTAAACCTGGCTTTGGATTTGGACTTAGCCCTCCTTCTCCAAATTCAAGCATGTTGATTAAATAAAATACAGTGTTTCTGTCTCATATTAAAAGACCATTGGTGTAATATAGGAGAAAACAAAATCTAGCTCTCTCCAAATTAAATAAAGTTCAGTTTCTGTCTCATATCAAAAGGCCATTGGTATAAGACAGAAAAAAATAAAACCAACAAAATCTAGGTCTAATATTGTCTTAACTCTGTATTCTCCAAAATCCTAATTTTCCTCATGCTTAATTTCATCCTTATTGTTACCTTTCCCTGTGTGCTCACCCATGGAAGTTAAACTTTCTGTGCTGATATTAATGTTTAAGTCCACCACAGTGAACAAAAATTTCCTAACAGCAATCTTTGAACTCTCTGGAAAGGAGTTGGGGCCCCACTTAATCCATTCCACTTGGTTCAACTTGATGCCTCTGAACAAGCAAACTCTACCTAAAACCAGTTTGGGACTATAACACTCTAGACAACTCCAGACTGGCTA